AAACTATTCAAACTCTCTGAGCCTCAGTTCCCTTACCTGCAAAATGGAAATAGCACCTCCCCTATGAAGTTATTGGGAGGATGAAGTGAGATCACCCACATAAAATACTTCACTCAGTGTCTGACAGGTGAGTAAATCTTAGATATCCTTGGTGGCAATCAAATGATGATGCTGAGGAAAGCAATGTTTCTCTTATTTTGGGTCTGTCTTTGCCTCATGTTGCTTTATGAGAACCAAAAGCAGGGGAGCCTGGCGGGCTCAGTCCCTAGAGCATGGGACTCTTGATCTCAGGGTTGTGAGTTTGAGCCCCATGTTGGGTATAGAGATTACTTAAAAAAACGTTTTTAATAAAAAAAAAAAAGCAGATCATCAGTACCATTTTCCTATTCAAGTATCATAATCAAGAGGAGGGATATTTTGTAAACATGTTGAAAAGGAACCCAGTTTTTCAACCTGATGACATCAGTAGGTCAACTCACTTTTTCTCCTTTTCGATTGTATGGGGAACATCATGTACCTTTCCCAATACCTGTTGATGGGTATAAATCCCTCTGTGGGTATGGCCAGAACACTGAGTATATCAATATTTGTTAAGAGCATAGAAGTGCTTGCCTTTCATTTGTCAGGGCCGTGGGATTGTGGACTATAGGTCAAGCCTGACGTTTGTAATGCCCTAAAGAGACAAGGTGGCCAAATCTTAAATTTGAGCTCCAAGAGAATAGCAACAACACCAGTTGCAGAATAGTCATGTTTCATTTATCGTAGAAGACACAAAACTTAGTGAACAGAACGTCATGGCTAGGTATTCCTGCAGCTAAGCCTGCTGAAGAGTATTTCTTTGCCCCAAATTTATGAAGCAATATATAAAATTTCAAACACTTTAAATCTCCAGGAAGACCTTCTGAAGGGCTCTAGAACCCACATCTGGAGGTCTACTTCCAAATGGGTTTGGGGCACGTGAACTGTGTGGCTTCCGAAGGTTGACTGATTACTTTTCCATTCTTTTGGGACCACCGTCTTATAACATGGCAGCAAGAGAACTGAGATCCACTGAAAAAAAGTCCAAACATGCTGTGTATGAGTGGCATGGAAAGTGATCTGGAATGTTATCTGAGGAACACCTGGCAGAGAGCATGTCTTTACCCAAACAGTAATTTTATTTTATTTTTTTAAAAGATTTTATTTATTTATTTTGACAGAGAGAGACACACAGCGAGGGGAGAGGGAACACAAGCAGGGGGAGTGGGGGAGCCTGATGCGGGTCTCGACCCCAGGACCCTGGGATCATGACCTGAGCCGAAGGCAGACGTTTGACGACTGAGCCACCCAGGCGCCCCCCAAACAGTAATTTTAAAATACGCTTTGCACCGCTGTTGTGTGAATCTTCATGACTTCATCACTCTTTCATAGAGAGTGGTTTGGGACCAGTCAGATTCTCTCGTGTGAGAGTCTGACTGGAGAGACACAGGTATGGAGAGGTTAAGTCAGGTTCATGGCTAAGAGCTGGACGAAGGGTTGTGAGCTGGTCCCCTGGCGTTGCCTGACCCTGCTTTAACTCTCTCTCAGTTTCTTTTTTTTTTTTTAAGATTTTATTTATTTATTTGAGAGAGAGAGAATGAGAGATAAAGAGCACAAGGGGGCAGGTCAGAGGAAGAAGCAGACTCCCTGCTGAGCAGGGAGCCCGATGCGGGACTCGATCCCGGGACTCCAGGATCATGACCTGAGCCAAAGGCAGTCGCTTAACCAACTGAGCCACCCAGGCACCCTCTCTCTCAGTTTCTGTGAGATACGCCAGTATCTTTCCTCTCTTTTGATTTTTCATTTTTTGCTTAAGCTAATTTGAAGTGTGTTTCAGACACTTGCATTTATGAGGCGCTTGAGTTAAACAATTATAATAAGGCATCTTCTTACTACAATGAGGGGAAAAAAAAGGAATTTCCTTCTCAGGAACTTGGCCGGTAACACCAACAGCCCAGCGTCAACTGTCAAAGAATTTCATCAAAATTTCAGTTCTGCTTTGAAGAAGTTCCCAATTCAAACCAAAAGATGGGGAGAGTAGGAGATGATCCATGGCCCAATTTGGTTGGTAAATGATCCATTTCTGATACTTAGTGACCCAACCAAATGCCACCACAGGCCAGGGTACCACGGATAGCCAATTCTTCAGCAAAATTCTGAGTACAGAAGCCAAGTGGGGGAAGACAGGAGTCAGGACCATCTGGGAAGACAGCTGCTTGTTCTAGGTGGGACGGCCAACAGAGCGACAGATCGTAATCAGGAAATATGTTGAAAATGAAACTACAAGGTGTATTAAGGACCAGGATCCTAGGTGTGAGTTAGACCCCTCTCTTCAGGCAAGGCACTGTGGGTCAGGGAGACTAATAAATTTGGAAAGGCAAGGGAGTTCATCAAATCAGAAACAAACATAAGTTTAAAGCCCCAATTATATGGTTCTAGACTTAGGGGTAATCTCTTCAAGTTTGGAAGAGATTGTTTGGGAGCAGTTAAAATGAGGTCCTACTTTTTTTTTTTAAGATTTATTTATTTATTTATTTGACAGCGAGAGCAGGAACACAAGCAGGGGGAGTGGGTGAGGGAGAAGCAGGCTTCCTGCAGAGCAGGGAGCCCAATGTGGGGCTCAATCCCAGGACCCTGGGATCATGATCTGAGCCGAAGGCAGATGCTTAACGACTGAGCCACCCAGGCACCCGAAGGTCCTACTTTTTATATAATAAACGCATAGAACTCATAGCCCCCAAACTGGTACCCTCCAAAATAAAGAGGAAGTAATGGGAAATCAATGCATATATGATTATAACTGCCCCTTCCAGGGGTGCCTGGCTGGTTCAGTCGGTAGAGCACGTGACTGTTGATCTTGGGGTTGTGAGTTCAAGCCCCATGTTGGGTGTTGAGATCATTTAAAAAATTAAATCTTTTTTTTTAAAGATTTTATTTATTTGATAGAGAGAGACACAGTGAGAGAGGGAACACAAGCAGGGGGAGTGGGAGAGGGAGAAGCAGGCTTCCCGCTGAGCAGGGAGCCCGATGCAGGGCTCGATCCCAGGACCCTGAGATCATGACCTGAGCCGAAGGCAGACGCTTAACAACTGAGCCACCGAGGCACCCCTAAAAAAATTAAATCTTAAAAACAAATAACTGCCCCTTTCAACATAGAAACAGGCACACATATGCTATACCACAGTGTGAGACTGGATGGAACACATCATTGGTTTAGTCCAGAATAACATTACTTGCTCCCATTTTTTAAAATTATTTATTTATTTATTTATGTATGTATGTATGTATGTATGTATGTATGTAAGTTCTATGCCTAACGTGGGGCTTGAACTCATGACCCCGAGATCAAGAGCCGCATGCTCTTCTGACGGAGCCGGTCAGGTTACATTAATACTGACATTCCCTCTGGACAGGGAAACAGAAATATTTAGTAGAAGACTCCTCTCTTAAAAAATGTTACTGATGGGCGCCTGGGTGGCTCAGTTGGTTAAGCGACTGCCTTCGGCTCAGGTCATGATCCTGGAGTCCCGGAATCGAGTCCCGCATCGGGCCCCCTGCTCGGCGGGGAGGCTGCTTCTCCCTCTGACCCTCCCCCCTCTCATGTGCTTTCTCTGTCATTCTCTCTCTCTCTCAAATAAATAAATAAAATCTTAAAAAAAAAATGTTACTGATGATCAAGGATGATGATGATGATGTTCTTATTTTATAGACATGACAAATTGTGATTTAATGCTTTTTAAAGATTTTTCTTTTTTTTTAAGATTTTATTTATTCACTTGAGAGAGAGTGTGTGAGAGACAGAGAAAGAACATGAGTGGTAGGGAGGGGCAGAGGGAAAGGGAGAAGCAGACTCCCCACTGAGCAGGGAGCTTGACGCCGGGCTCAATCCCAGGACCCCGAGATCGTGCCCTGAGCCAAAGGCCGATGCTTAACCGACTGAGCCACCCAGGCGTCCCCCCCGTGCCTTGTTCTATCTCCACCAACCACCCAGAGCAGCATCTGACACATCGTTGGTGCTTAATACCTAAAAGCTGATGGAAGGGCGCCTGGCTGGTTCGGTCAGTAGAACATGCAACTCTTGATCTCAGGGTTGTGAATGCAAGCCCCACCTTGGACACAGAGCCTGCTTTAAAAATGAATAAATAAATGAAAGCTGATGGAACTCCTGAGCAAACGGATGGATGTGAGTTAGTGCTGAACTGGTCCGAGTTTCCCAGCCAGGCTCGCTGCTGACTCATGCATGGGAAGCTGGGGGAACGTACTCCTTTCCTCTGAGCTCATGTCTGCCACTTCTTCTCTTTGAGGTGATCTCTGCTTTAACTTTCTACTTCTAGGAATCAACAGGAGAACCGGGCAAGCAAAGCACTCCGAAAGCACTTCAATATGAGAACGTCTGTCTGTTCTTCATTTTTTGCCATTTAAGCTCTGGCTTGGAGTCTAAGTCTCTCCCTTTCTTATCTGTATCTGAGTCAGGATGGCAAAGCAAGCCGCATCTTGCTAAGGAATCAAGGAGGGACAGGCTGGGGATGAAAGCGTAACAGAAACTTGGACTGATCACAGACTCAAACCGGTACATCTCCTTTCCATCCCAGAACTGGGAACAGAAACTGTTCCATAGGAAATTCTTTCTTTTCCCTCCCTCTTCTGCAAACACCCCGGTCTGTCCCAATTCCTTTTTTAAGACACAAATAGTCATAGCAATATTCACCCTGAATAGAATGTACAGGGCCCCTGCAACCCTGTTTGCACCACCCTTCCAAATTAAATGATTTTTACTTATTCCCAGCCCTTCCTCATCCTGGTCCTAAAGCAGGTGCAATTTTTACTTAACTCTCTTGATGCAGCTCAGTGTCTACCTCCTTTCCTTACTTGACAGTATTTGGTATGTTCTGTCGGGACACAGTTAACAACCCATAAAGGTCTCCGCTTAAGTAAGAAGTCCCTTTCTGTGAACCATCACCCAGACACATGCAACACCAGACTGTGTGTCTCACATCAAAATTTATTGAAGTGGTAGATTTCTTATAAGGACAGGAACACAAGCAAATGAACCAGAAGGAACCTTCTCCCTCTAACCATTGGGCAGCATTTCCCTTTTAACGACAAAACCAAACAGGTGGGAAGCAGCTGTCTTCTCTGAAGCCTCTAACCCTCAGCCTTCCAATTAGTCAACAGGAGAGGAATGGATTAGGCGCAGGTCGCTGCAAAATGCCTTTTCTTTCTCTCAGTAAGACTGTTTTGCTCAGTCCTGCCCTGGCTAATCCCTCTCTTACCTCAACCGGAAACTCAGATATTAACCAAAGCTTACAAGTCTCCTGCCCGGTGCTTTTCTGCTAAAGCTTGGCTGAAAGATGAATCGGTCCCTTGGAATGTGGGTGACCTACTGGCTTCTTTAATGATTCCTGGCCTCCGCCCAGGGGCCATAACTCCCCTCCAACCACTTAGCTTTCCTTATCCCGGCTAGAGCCCGACCGACTGGGTATCGCCCCCAGGAGCTGAGAGCCATCCCTGCCTCAGGCAGGTGAGGGAAGGAGGCCAGTGAATCACGGGTGCTCATGGGCGTCTCCCTGGCTCCAGCTCTACTCTGCAGAAGTGTGGACAGTTTGGCCGTCTTCGGTTCTGTGAGTGCCAGAGACTGAGCAGAAATCTCAGAAGCTTTACTCTCTGTTCCTCCCAAGAGTCCTCTGGTGACGCTCCACAACCAGGCAGCCCACTCTGCCACACTCCTTCTCTAAATCCGATTCTCCGAATCTGGAAATTCCAGGAAACCACAGGCCACGTCTCATGATGTTACTCTGTGCACCCAGCCAAACTCTTTCCCCAGAGACCTTGGTTCTTGGTGACCATCTCACTTCTTGGCTCGGGTATTTAGCGAGAAGCTGGGGTCGGATAAGAAGGGTTCCATGGCTCACCGGCGTGGGCCACTAAATTGTCTGGCACACTCCTGGTGGCGCTCAGATCCCCCGTGAGCTCCATGCTTGTGCTCTGGTTATTATCTGACTGTTGGGGCGTCTTCTCCCGCAGGTAGCGGTTGATCAGGGTGGAGAAGAAGTTGGGAAAAGATGGGCTGGAGAAGTAGTACACCAAAGGGTCCAGCATGCTGTTCATGTAGGTGAAGCTAAGGGTGATGAAAAATGCCAGGTCAACCGAGCGATACATGTCACAGTTCCTCGTGCCCACGGTGTGCAAGAGCCAAAAAATGCGTATGCGCACAGCCACGCTGGGCAGGAAACAGATGATGAAGACAATGGCCACCACCATGATGAAGTTGATGGCCCTCCTGATCTTGGCATGTCTGTCCATTTGTCGCTGGCGCAGGCTCCAGATGATTCTGGCTGAGCAGAACAGGATGATGCCCAGGGGCAGGATGAACTCCAGGAGGAACATGGCATCATGCCACCTGAAGGTATGGCAGATGCTAAAGCTGCTGCACAAATTCGCATCTTGGTTCCTGATCAACATTTTTTTGTTCAGGAGGTGACCCGTGAGGCCGATGGTGACACCCCACAAGAGGCAGGATATAATGGCCGCTGTCCGATTTGAGATCTTGTTCAGAGCGTGGTGAGGATGGACCACCCGGAAGTACCTGTCCACAGCCACCACCGTGAGGAAGATGATGCTGCCCTGGCGGTTCATGGCCAGCATGAACAGCATCAGCCGGCAAGGGACGTCCCCGAACCTCCAGTCCCACTTCCTCACATAGTTGTCCGTCAAGAATGGCAGGCAGATGATCAGGAGAAAGTCAGCCACAGCCAAGTTGAACAGGAAAATCCGGCTGGATTTCCAGGACTTGAGGTGAAAGCAGAAAATCCACAGGGCAAGGCCATTGCCCAGGAGCCCGAACACAAACTCCAGCCCCAACACCGTCGGCAGCACATTGGCTATGAAGTCATCCCGGAACACACAGCAGTTCTTCTTGTCTATTTCCAGAAAATGATTCTGCTGCTGGTGCGGGTTCATGAGTGGAACGAGTCGGTCCTAGCGAGTGCTCAAGGAAAGAGGCGTGTGTCTGAGTGGCGAACGCGAGGTTCAGCTCCCGCCTTTATGTCATGTCAGGGTGATGAAACTGGTGACTGAGTGCTTACCAGGAAACTACGAAATCCCTTAAAAAAAAAAAAAGCCAGCAAGGCTCTTATGCAATCTGCTGTTTGCATAAACAAGTAATAAAAATCCCCTGGGGAAGACAGGAACCCACAAAGTTTCCTAAATGTAAAGGATAAGTTTAGGCAAGCCGTCTGTCCTTTGTGAGTTATGGCAATGCGGAGGGCTTCCCTTTGGAAGGCTGTGTGCCAGCATCCCGAGCGCTTAGCTTTGGAGAACTGATTCACTGTTGGGTGGTTGACTTACATAATGAATGACAACGGCAATAATAATTTCCCATGCTAAACAGCATGGTTTTCCAGAAATGTTAAGAACAACTATGTAGTATTAGCATGCATATGACTTAAGAAACAGTAACATGTATATGATTTCTTTGGAACCACCAAGGAGACAGTAACTGTCTATTTTATGAGGACAGATGTGTTGCATTTGATGTTTCCCTGCCATATTCTCTGTACCAGCACAGATTGCTTTTCCACACCAGAACTTTGCAATTAAGCTCTAGTTAGGAGAAAGGAGAAAAGATACTTGAGAACAGCATACAATTTCATAAGATATTTGAAAACTTGAACCCAGTTTGGATTGCCAGTGGTATGTTACAATAAACCGAGTTTTTGTTTGTTTTGTGTTAGACTTTGATAGGCTTCTGTGCTCAAGTAAGCAATGTATTCTGAAGTATGTGATTTTTATTTTTATTTATTTATTTATTTAAATATTTTATTATTTACCTAGAGAGAGACAGAGAGAGAGGGAATACAAGCAGGGGGAGCGGGAGAGGGAGAAGCAGGCTTCCCGCGGAGCAGGGAGCCCGACGTGGGGCTCGATCCCAGGACCCTGGGACCATGACCTGAGCTGAAGGCAGATGCCTAACGACTGAGCCACCCAGGTACCCCTATTTTTATTTTTTTAAAGATTTATTTATTTATTTATTTCAGAGAGAGAGAGAGAGCACGAGTGGGAGGGGCAGAGGGAGAGAGAATCTCAAGTGGATTCTGTGCTGAACGTGGAGCCTGAAGTGGGGCTTGATCTCATGACCCTGAGATCTCAACCCGAGCTGAAACCAAGAGTCAGATGCTCAACTGACTGCACCACACAGGTGGGCCCTTAAAGTATGTGATTCTTAAAAATCAATAAGCGTTATTTTTTTAGAGTTTTAGCTTCACAGCAAAATTGAGCAGAAAGTACAAAGAGTTCCTGTACCCTCCTGTACCCCATCCACAGCCTCGCCCCACTAAGTGCATGTGCATGATATTTTAAAAGGCTCTATTTTCAGAAAATCAAACTTAAAGGGATGGGACCTTTGAGGACTTTGAACTCTGCCTCACAGCAGATCACCATTTCACACATCATTTCTTTGCGTTTTAGTATAATTGGGTGTAACCCTATGGAACATTTCTACCCTTTAATATTTTGGCTATGATCCTTGCTGAGCAAGAGGTTCTAAAATGTGTTGCTTCTACTTTGAGTTAAAAATAGGAAACTGGGGGCGCCTGCCTGGCTTAGCCGATTTAGTATCTGCCTTCAGCTCAAGTTGTAATCCCGGGGTCCTGGGATCGAGCCCTGCGTCGAGCTCCCTGCTCAGCAGGAAGCTTGCTTCTCCCTCTCCCTCTGCCACTCCCCCTGCTTGTGCTCTCTCTCTCTCTCTCTCTCTCTATCAAATAGATAAATAAAATATTTTTTAAAAAGAATAATATACACAGGAATAAATTTAACCAAGGAGGTGAAACACCTGTACCCTGAAAACTGTAAGACATTGATGAAAGACATTGAAGAAGACACAAAGAAATGGGAAGACAAATTCCATGCTGATGGATTGGAAGAACAAATATTGTTGTTGTTTTTTTTTAAGATTTTATTTATTTGAGAGAGAGAGAATGAGAGAGAGAGCACTTGAGAGGGGGGAGGGTCAGAGGGAGAAGCAGACTCTCTGCCAAGCAGGGAGCCGGATGCAGGACTCGATCCAGGGACTCCAGGATCATGACCTGAGCCAAAGGCAGTCGCTTAACCAACTGAGCCACCCAGGTGCCCAGGAAGAACAAATATTGTTAAAATTTCTATACTGCCCAAAGAAATCTACAGATTCAATGTGCTCTCTATCAAAATTCCAATAGCATTTTCTGTAGAAATAGAACAACAATTTATTTTTTGTAGAAATAGAACAAAAATTCCAGTAGCATTTTTTTTGGTAGAATAGAACAAATAATTCAATAGAAAAAAATAACAATTTTGTGTACAGAGCCACAAAAGACTCCAAGTAGCCAAAGCAATCTTGGGAACGAAGAACAAAGCTAGAGTCATCACACTACTGATTTCAAGCTATATACCAAAGCTATAGTAATCAAAACAGTGTGGTATTGGCATAAAAACAGACACACAGATCAATGGAATAAAATAGAGAGCCCAGAAATAAACCCATGCAAATATCGTCAATTAATTTACAACAAAGGAGCCAAGATACTGGGGAAAGGACAACCTCTTCAATAGATGTACTGGGAAAACTGGACAGCCACATGCAAATTACATTATACACGAAAATTAACTTATTTTTTTCCCTCCCTCCTTTCCTCCATACACAAAAATTAACTTTAAAAAGGCGCGCCTGGGTGGCTCAGTTGGTTAGGTGTCCAACTCTTGGTTTCCACTCAGGTCGTGATCTTATGGGTTGTGGGATTCAGCCCTGCATCAGGCTCCCCACTCAGCAGGGAGTCTGCTTGAAGATTCTCTCCCTCTGCCCCTCCCCGCACTTACGTGCACATGGGCACGAGCGCGCCCTCTCTCTATTTAAAATAAATAAATCTTCAAAAACATTTAACTTAAAATACATTAAAGACTGGAACGTGTGACCTGAACCCATAAAACTCCCTACATAGGCACTAAACTCCTTGACCTTCATCTTTGTAATGATTTCTTTGGATTTGACATCAAAGACAAAGACAAAAAAGCACAAATGAACAAGTGGGACTATATCAAACTCAAAAGCTTCTGCACAGCAAAGGAAACCATTAACAAAATGAAAAGGCAAGATACTGAATGGAAGAAAATATTTGCAAATTATATATCTGGTAAGGGATTAACATCCAAAATATACAAATAATTCATACAAAACAGTTTGATTAAAAAATGGACAGGGAATCTGAATAGACATTTTTTCTAAAGGAAACATATGGATGACAAATAGGTACATGAAAAATGCTCAACATCACTAGTCATCAGGGAAATGTAAATCTATACCACAATGTAATATCACCTCACACCTGTTAGAATGGCTATTATCAAGAAGACAAGAAATAACAGGTGTTGGTGAGGCTGTGGAGGAAAGGGAACCCTCTTGTGCTATTGGTGGGAATGGATATTGGTGCAGCCATTATGGGAAACAGTATGGAGGTTTCTCAAAAAATTAAAAAAAGAAATACCATACCATCCAGCAATCCCATTTCTGGGTATTTATCTGAAGAAAACGAAAACACTAACTTGAAAAGGTATCTGCATGCCCATGTTCCTTGTAGCATTATTCACAATAGCCAAGATATGGAAAAAACCTAAGTGTCCATAGGCAGATGAATGGGTTAAAAAAAAGTGTATCTATCATCTATCTATCTATCTATCTATCTATCTATCTATCTATCTATTCATGGAATATTATTGAACCATAAAAAAGAATGAAATTATTAAACCATAAAAAAGAGTGCAATCTGACCATTTGTGACAACATAGATGGACTGTGAGGGTATTTATGCTAAGGGAAAAAAGTCAGATGGAAAAAGGTAAATACCCTATGATCTCTCTTACATATGGAATCATAAAAAAAACTCATGGATACAGAGAACAGATTGGTGGTTGCTAGAGGCAGGGGGTGGAGGGTGGGCAAAATGGGTGAAGGGAGTCCAAAGGTACAAACCTCCAGTTATAAAATAAATAAGTCCTGGGCATGTAACGTACACCATGGTGACTTTAGCTAATAATACTGTATTGCATATTTGAAAGTTGTGGAGAGTAAATCCTAAAAGTCCTCAGCACAAGAAAAAATTCTGTAACTATGTACAGTGACAGAGTTAACTAGACTCATTGTGGTGATCATTTCTCAATATACACAAATACTAAATCTTTATGTTGTACCTGAAACCAATGTAATGTTTTATGTTAATTATTCCTCAATTAAAAAAAAGAAGTTAAGGTGATGTTGGCTCGTACATTACAGAGAGCTTCCGATATTGCAGACCCCATGCATAAATGCCTTATTTTATTTTTTTAAAAGATTTTATTTAGGGCGCCTGGGTGGCTCAGTTGGTTAAGCGTCTGCCTTTGGCTCAGGTCATGATCCTGGAGTCCCGGGATCGAGTCCCGCATCGGGCTCCCTGCTCAGCGGGGCGTCTGCTTCTCCCTCTGACGCTGCCCCCTCTCATGTGCTCTCTCCCTCTCATTCTTTCTCTCAAATAAATAAATAAATAAATCTTTTTTTTTAAAGATTTTATTTATTTATCAGAGAGAGAAAGAGAGCGAGAGAGCACGAGCAGGGGGAACGGCAGGCAGAGGGAGAAGCAGGCTCCCTGCTGAGCGGGGGGTGGGGATGGGGGTGGGAACTCTGGGCTCCATCCCAGCACCCTGGGATCATGACCTGAGCTGAAGGCAGATGCTTAACCGATTGAGCCACCCAGGCACCCCCTCTTCTCTTTTCTTTTCAAAGTTCTCTGCCAGCTGTTAAGGCCAGCTTCTTCTCTATTTCTTTACTACTTCTCAATTTCTCCTTCATCTTCCGTAGTGGTCCAGAGGTTTCTTATTTCCCACCAGCCAAGTGTCCCAACTCAGAGTTACTTATGGCTTGCAGGGGCAAATCTCCCACAATGCCCCCAATGAACGACGCTTCCTGTACTCCCACCCTCATGTGACCCCTCCTGGTGGAATATGGACCAGCTCTATGACTCTTTTTAACC